GCACTCCAAGTAAAAACTTCTTCCTAACATCTAACCTAAATCTTCAGTTCTAGTTTAAAGCCATTCCCCTTTGTCCTATCACTAACAGATCATGTTAAAAGTCAGTCCCCGTCCTGTTTGTAAGGTCCCTTCAAGTACTGGAAGGCTGCAATGAGGTTTCCCCTGAGCTTTCTCTTTGCTACCTCTTGCTCTCCCATCAATTTCAGAACTCAATTAACTTTTGGGATACAATCAGCTCTCGCTTACAAACAAAGGTGTTGCCCATACTTGCCATCCTATAAACACGCTCCTTTCAATAAAGACAAGTAGGTGCTTTAGATATGAAAAGCATGAAAAGCATTAACTGACTGAAGATATCAATGACTCTATTTCTTGTTCTTGTGGGAAACACATTTTTTTTTTAATTTCTAAGATGGAGTACCAATAGCTGTGATTGCTAGCAAAACATTTAGCAGCTTTTTGTATTTTCAAATACATGTCCAAATTAAATGCAAGTATTTAAGACACTCAAAATCATGTATTATACCTATTATAACAGAATAGGAAATGGTGAGATTCACCAATTAGTGAAGTCATTTCTATAACATTGTCTTGATGAGACTCCATATTAATTCTACCCTGTCATTCATCATACAAGAAATCCTGTAACATGAGATCAGCTGTCATTTTCACCGTGACCTTTTATACTGAAAGAAGTGCCGGTATAGCTGCGAAGCATAAGTGCCAATGAAGTATATTTGTCTACCACAGATGTCCCAAAAATCCACGACTCTGGTTTTTGAAGATAATTGATGTAAAAATTCAGTCTTTGGCTATTGCCAGTAAGCTAATAAGACAGACAGTCTTATAGTTTCCGTACCATAATGAGGCCTGAAACCAATTTGGCTGGGATCAAGGAAATATGAAGCCTCCAAATATTTCTGGAATTGCCTCACTATAAACTTTTTCAAAAAGGCAGATTGAAATGTCTTATAATAGATCTGACTGTTTGCATCAAGAAGAAGATATTTTTAGGTTTAACAAGGGCTTCCTAAAGAGAATTTGGTGCCTGGTCTTATCACATCCTAACAACATTCTCAGCTAAGTTTGGGATCTTCGTTGCCCAACAATGTAGTCTCAGTACAGTCTTCACTTAATGCTTCATTTACATGGGGACACTAAGGAAAATGTCTAGTCAAGACAAATTAACTAGTCAGTGTACATAAGTGAGGCTTTATTATATTCAGAAGAAAGGCAGTTTTATTGCACAGCAGGCTAAGACATAGTTACAATGTTACAGTGCATGACAGCGTCCATATAGAAGTTTAATGCAATCAAGCATATGTGCATTAGTTTATTTCATTTAACATTCCTAAGTATCTCACTGTAGGCAAGTCCTAAGAAAACAGCATCAGATGAAGTAAAAACTTGGGTTTGCTTTTGTCCCCTCCATAGCCTGCTCTGCTACCATGGAGACAAACAGCTCTGACAGAATCTAGTAATCTCATCTTCAAAGAAATAAAAACATTCTTGGTGAAAGTGCCTGCAAATCTCTGTTGGCCCTGAATGTGATCTTACGCCTTTCATTGAAATCCCACTTTAGCATGAAAGGAAAAAAACTACTCCCTGTCATCCCCGTTTTCCTCCCTCCTCTTTCTATGAATGGTAACAAGAGCTCCTAATGTATAAATTCTCCCACAGACAGCAGAACCAGTGGGCCCTGCACCATGCCCCATGCTTCTCTAGCAGCACCATCCCTGCACCTTCTATCTGTTCTACGTACCTTCTGTTCCACAGTGCAACTCTCCCAACTCCTCCCGCCAACACAGAGCCCTACAACATCTTCACAAAACCACAGAATCACAGAATGGCCAGGGTTGGAAAGGACCTCAAGGATCATGAATCTCCAACCCCCTGCCACACGCAGGGCCACCAACCTCCACATTTAATACCAGACCAGGCTGCCCAGGGCCCCATCCAACCCGGCCTTGAACACCTCCAGGGATGGGGCATCCACAACCTCTCTGGGCAGCCTGTTCCAGCACCTCACCACTCTCTCGTAAAGAACTCCCCCCCGACATCCAACCTAAATCTTCCCTCCCTCAACTTAAAACTATTTCTTCAGTCCACTGCTGCATTCCTAGCTCTGGCTGTTTAGTTATTGCTTTTATTGTCTCCAGGTCTGTCTCCTCTCCATACCTCCTGCCTGCCTGCCTGGACCCAACAGCACCCGTTGGGCAGTGCGGGAGGCCTTGCTGAGCCTTGGCTGCCTCTGGGAGCAGATAGTGACTCAATTCTTCTTGCATTTCCTTCACCTCTCCTGCAAGCATCTACAAAAATATGGAAATGTAACCTCCATCTTCCTTGCCTGAGATTCCTGAGATCACCCAACAGATCATGGGCAGGGCAGCCAAAAAGACGGCCTGACTGGCAGTGTTTTGCTGTGATCAGAAACCAGGCCTGTGAGAAGACAGCCCTAGGGATCCAACTCAAACTGAGAACTGGCTTTCCCTGTGCTCTCCACCAAGTCATTTCATCTCACTCCCATTCTGTTACTCTGCCTATGTAACAGAAACGTGAAACAACCTATCTAAAGCTCAGAAAGGTATTTGAGTTTTCAGACACTGGCTGCATAGTGGGAGACTGCTGTTCTTCAGCATTGAAGAAAGAACAGGGTAGGTCTTTTAACTCAAGAACTATGCTATGAAGAAATTAAAACAACATTCAAGAGTTTAGGGACATTTTTGGGGTATATTCTGAATACTGAACATAATTTAGAGGAAACTCAAACTATTTTTGAAGAAAAAAAAAGTGACACATGGAAGTTATTTGCATGGTAGCTAGAGTGACGTTAAGAGAAATGCAAATTTAACCCTCAGAATGGGAAGGACAAATCTAGAGCACATTCCACTTTCATGAGATTTAAAAAAGCCTCCTCCTTGCCACAGATGTGCAAACAGAGCTTTCATAAGCCATCACAGATCTCAGCTCTGTTCCTTCCAGAAGGTCATGACCTCTTCTTCCTTCCTTTCCTCTCCTCTCTACTCCTTTCCTTTCCTTCCTTTTTTCTTTCCTGGAGCACTTTAAAACCACATGGTTATAAATGATTTGGATGACTATAGTGATCACAATCTCTTTGCTAACACACCTCTGTCATACATAAATAAGTTGTCACTGGCCTAGGCTCATGTTTCACTCAATGCACAGATCTAACCTGACTAAGGAAGTGGTTTAACCACTGGAATGCAATCTCTGCTTCTTCATTCATGTCTCAGTACAAATGCAATAGGCTTAACTCAAGAAGAATCTCATCCTTTACTATTCAAAGACAAACAAGCAAGCTAATTACCCCTTCATAAAAATATGTGATCCTGAGGACAGCTGGGCCCGGCTACAACCCATTGGTACTGCAGGTAGCCTGCAACTACTGAACTCAAAGCCAAACCGATATCAGTGGTATGTGTCCAGCAACAGAAGATGTGAGATGGAAAGCATCAGATTTTACAGACTTAGAACTTCAGTGCTTATTCATTGGGAATTAATGTTAAATGGGTACAGTTTAATGGGAATTAAAGAGAGTGATTTGTGAACGCTACCCCACATTGTGCACAATGTACCTCGGACAAACGTGAGCACACAAGTGAAAAGGAGAGGGATATCCCCAGTATACTGTCAGGATTTGGCACAAATAAATCAAGTGTTCTTATTTTCTCTCACTGACCCTAAAATATTATAGCTATTTGAAAGCATGAGCATTGTCCCAGTTCCACTATCGCAATGCCTACAGAGAGGGGAAGGATCAGACCAGGATCATTTACCAACTATACACTGTGCGCTGTGTCACACTTCTGCAGTCAGGCAATATTTTGTTATGATACACACCAAAATCACCTTAGCTCTGCTTTATTTGAGCATTGTACTTTAATTCACATAAATACACTTTGACTTTAAAGATTATGCATACTGTTCTAAAATTATGTCTCTGTGTCTGATTCTATCTCATTTCTACATCTATACACACGTTTACATGAGAAACATCAAACCAAAGTGTCCCACACAGTTGTGTACTCAAACATTCAAACTGGTGCCCAGAAGTAACCCTATCTCTACTAGATTTTACAACCAGATATTTTATTCTCAGTCACATTACTCTTACACAAAGCTGTACTTTCACAGGCCCACCAGGAACCCCCACAACCCACTCTTCACTGTAGAACAGCAGCTCCTACAAGACCACAGGAGTCCACAGACATACAGCATAATACTTGGCTGTGGCAATACTGGATTCCACAGGGAATCATCTCATTTCCCAATAACAGCTCTCTCAGGCTGCTTCAACTAATCCCTCAACCCCTCAAATTAGCATTACCTAACACAGGGGACACAGCTGGATACCAGCAGATAATTCCTAGTGATTATTACCAGTTTCAGGAAGCAGAGCTAAGGTTGCATTAGAAAGTACCCTAATTTCTCACTCTCCGGTTCTCAGAGTGTTACTTAACTGCACATCCTGAAAGAAATGAGACATTACGAAGCAATCTTGACAATGTGTTAACACATTTTTCTGCAGTGAAACCAGTAGGATTACAGAGCTAATGGTCAAGCTTTTCAAATCACAAGATCATCTGCTTCCTCTTCACCCTTCTGCATGCAAGCCCCTTCCTTTGTGCAGCCATTACATTCAGAAAAAAATAAGACAATTTATCTCTCATAAGACTTTAATGCACTGCTGACCCTGTTTTTCTGGTTTAAGAGCTTATGCACAGTATTCTTGTTTGCTATAAAGGCAGTATGCCTAACCAGTTTACATTTTCCTTATGTGAACTACTCTGAAGAGAGTAAAATATGTACATTTTTCTCTAAAGAAGCAATATGAATGTATTAGAAATTGATGTGCAATATAGGAAAATAAACTCCCAGATAAACTTCAGGCACCTTCAGTTTTGACCTGCAACAATTCTAAGCAGTGTGAAATAGACAAAGTTAAACTTGAGCAGAAAGACACACAGAAATGGGAGAAGTTTTAATGGATAGCTCTATTATTCATTTTGTGTAAAACTACTTGTGCTCAGCACTTATACAGCAATCTTGAATCTTCATGAGGAACTCCTCATAGTGCTTCTTCATGCTTAGCAATGCGCCTGCTCCACTTCATACACATTTACTCATGGTAATCCTGTTTGCTACCTGTCCTCAACAAATGAAAGAATGCATCATTACATCTATGCAGGAGGTGGCAGAGCACACAAGATGAAGTTCATAGGATACATCAATGAAGAAGAAACAGGAGGAACCAAAGTAAAGAGGAAATTTCTACAACGAAGTAACAGTGATAAAATGTTGAGAACACATAGGCAACTAATGGCTCCACTGGAAAGACTAATTAACAGTCTGGACATTAGAACTGAAAACTAGACAGCACAGGTTCATCTGTTTATGATAGACGACTGCTGGCTCAGCTGCTGAGGTAGTACTATGCCCTTCACTACGTCAGTTTTCTACATGTGATTTCACAGTCATAAGAGGTTTAATTATAACACTTAAAGTATGGAGGAAATTTCTCTATATTACTATAAATAAAACTTCAAAATTAGATTGTTTTGTGAATCCCGTTATCTGTGAAATCTGAAGCCTGTGTAATGCACTGAACTTCAACTGTTTCCAGGTTTAGACCTCTTATGGTCCATTCATACAAGGAAATAAGTCTAAATGCATAGATGTGAGATGAAAACTAGACTTTTCAACATAATCCTCAGTCCCTGACTTTCATTGTTTGCTGAAGTGCTGTTAATGTGTATGAAATGTGATTCATCTGCTGTCTTCTGTGCCTCCATCCAGCACGTGCTGTTGAAAGATAGTCATTTGTGTCTTCCAGCAACCTCTTCCAGCTTCCTCTTCAAACAGCAACTACATCTGAATCACAGCACTCAGAGAGCTATGATTTCTTTTTTCCACTATAGTGCCATTAGGAAATAACACTCAGTATTATAAATGTCGCTAGGGAATGTGCTAAAGGCTTCAGAGGAATTTTTAAAAAGACAAGAGCTGGTTTCAAAGTATTTACAGTTCAGTTTTCCACATAGCAAAGCAAGAATGCCAAACACACAGGCAGGTTTCAGGGAAGCACGTGAAATAAAACCTAATAGATTTCCTTTCCTATCATGCATGAACATCATGATGGTCCGAAAAATGTGTGGCAGACGAAGAAACACAAATCTGTTTCTCTAAAAGCACAAAGCAAGCAAAGCACTGGGTGAATTGCTCTGCAGCACTTCACCTCCTACCACCCAAATGTCATTCATGTTTTTTTTTTTACACACAGAAACAACGCTATGGAAGTGAAATAGAACAGAAACAGAAATAACGAAGACTTGGACAAAAACATCTAGCAAATTGTGTGGAGACAGATTTCAATATTTGAATGTTTGGCAGAATGCATGGAGAGTAGTGTCAGTCCTTAATTGTACAGGTTTAGAAAGAATTCAGCCTGTGGGCAAGGTGCTCCTATAGTTTCTTATTAGAGAAGCTTCACACTTAACAGTAATCTTTCAGCAACTTACAGTAACTTAACTAAATGGCTGGCATCTTTCAGGCCCTTTTCCAGTTCTAGTGATAAGAAATCAAGGACTGGTGCCAGTAAAAAGTTGCTGCTACCGTTCTTCTCCTCCCCAGATCCTGTTCGGGCCCACGCAGCAGAAAGTTCTCTTGTATTGCAGTCCTGACCTGCGTAATTCAGGTTGGCAAAGATGGTTTCATTGTGCTTTGTTCTTCCTGCTTTAACGACCGCTGTTTCCCTTCCTTGCTGAGATTTGAGGGGGCTGCATGTGTTTGCAGCAGAAGTCCTTCTGTCCGTTTTCCAGTTCTAACAAAAGGAACAAAGAAAGAAGCAGGCCCTGTGGGTCGTTAACAAGGGACTCTGGCATATTTTATATCTCTGACGCTTAAGAGGCTTTCTGGCTTTGCCCTACTGGAAACTGATCTGCCACCGGCCTTTTCTAATCCCCCACACACTTCCTTCACCTGATACTGCAGTGTCTGCGCAACCTTCTCTATAGAAAGCATTTCTTTAGATTTCTGAAGTTTAAGACGATATTTAGCAAAGCAACCGGCAAGGAAAATGTTGATTTTAAAACTTAAAAGAGGTGAAATCAAAAAGTTGAAGGGAATAGTAAGAAACAGAAAAGCAACAGCGAAGTTAACCAAGTAGAAAGCGCTGTTAAGCTTTAGGAATGCTAGCGGTGGTAATTCACCACGCGGGAATGGTCAGAAGAGCCGAGAATCTCATCTCCACCTCTACGAACTGTCTTCCCCTGCTCAGTTCAGCAGCTCCTCGCCGACAGGAGCGACACCCGAGCAGTAAACAAACGCGCGCCCTGAGCGCAGCCGGCCCCTCAGCCGGCACGTCCGGGCGCCCCGCGCGCACTGCATTTCCCAGCAGCGCCGGGGCTGAAAGGCGCCGTGTCCGGCGCGGAGGCCGCTGGGAGAGCCGTTAGCGGGGCGCGTCACGGCGGTCGCCCGTGAGGGGGGAGGGTGGCTGCGGCTCTGCTGCCGGGCTGTGCAGGGTGGGGTGTACGTTGATATGTTTTCTAGAGTGGGAAGGTTCTGATATACACTAGACAGAGGGAGGGGAGCGAGTTTTGTAAGGGTGTAGCTCAAAAACAACAAAAAAACAAAAAACCAAGCAAGAGTGCTTCCTCAGTCCCCATTCCCAAGGAGGGCAGTGCCAAGCAGTAGCTTTGATGAGGAGATTCTCCACAGCTGGCTCCCAGCGGAGGAAGCTCTGGTACAAAAGAGATCGATTTTTAGAATCATTTCTTAAGCTTAGGATGTCTATGACCGCCTCACATGCATTGGGGAGAGTAAGCTGCTAGAGAATTAGCGTGCCTGCATCCTGTGGCCATGTTTTCGGGCATTTGCTCACAGCAGGCTCAAAGTTGAGCCCTGGGGACGCAGGCATTATGGCAGTGCATGATTTTCACCATAAATCCTTGTGCAAACCACCTCCTACATCACCTGAGATTTACGGAACGTCACACGGCTTTTTGTTTCTTGGGGCTCTTTGGTCTTTCATAGGTGAGGCACGGAACATGAGAGCGGTAGCTGGGCCATCTCTTTGACAGCATCTTGACTGCTGTTTTCTCACTCTACCTTGTGCCAAACAAAAAGGCAGGTCACCAAACCTCTGTTAACAAGCAAAGCCACACCCAGAAGTATTTGGGAGTGCAAACAAACAAATGCACACAACATGAAAATAACTGAATCTTCAGATCTCAGGTTTGGTTTTGGTTGCTTCTAACTGCAAAGCATTGGGACAAAACTGCACAAGCTGCCCTGTAGAATTTCTTCTTTCAAGATGACTATTTTCCCTAAATGACCTTTTTTGTTTAAAAGTAGTGATAATAAAGACGTCTCTGCTAAATACAGTGGGAAGCTTTTTCCACCTTTCTCACTGGTCTTGCATTCTAAATGCATTTTTTTCCATCTCAGCTTCAGATACCTAGAAACTTTCCATTGAAGCTGCGTGTTAGTTTGCTGCAGCAAATTTAAGTCCAGTAAGAAGAGGTTTCCCATTTTAGTCACCTCTGTCACACACATAATCCACAGGTTACACCGTCTGTGGATCACAGTTTGAAATGCAACAAATAGGTTAATCTAAATTGCTATTCACTTCAGTGGCAGCTGCAACAATTAGTCACTTCTTTGATTGCTACAGTATAAATATGGTGTCTCTATACTCTCATACCTTTAAAAGAGGTAAATAAGGTAATATGGACACACTTTACATACAAAAGGTCTTATTTCCCCCCCCTTTCCCCCCAGAAATTCGCACAGTTTATCCAGAACTCAAAAAGCAGAGAACCAGTGTTTCAGTAATTACCCAGAAGGTGCTGCAATGTGTGAGCCTGTCAGCTGACTTTTCTCCATTTAACCACTGGGACCAATAAGTACAAAACTATTTTCTGTGGCTTCTGAAGTCCCTGAACTGAATGAGTCTGTGTGCACTGGGGAAATATCCCTTATATGTTTTGCCTGTTCGTGTACTATTTTTCTAAGTTCATGCTGCAGATTACCTAAGAAGTAAAATACTAGGTTAATTAGATATTTGTCTAACACAGCATGGCTGTTTTTCCAAAAAGAAGTGTTTTGCAGACAGTACTGTGAAGAATCTGCCATGTCAAATCAACTGTGTAACTTAGCTTTATGGGAGGACATACTTCTTTCTTTAAATGGCTGCTTTGAAAAAATGAGAATATTCTCCACAGTTACTTTATAGGATGACAAATACTCATCCATCAAGCAGCCGATTGCTGAATTTCTGAAAAGAGGCTTCTGGGACTAAGCTGCTAAGTGGCAGGGTGATTCCTTTTTGTTTCATTTGAAACGTGAGGATGATGATGGCTTGAAGACTACGTATTTACTGTAATTCATGTCATCCATATCATCGGAGATTTTATAATTTTCTATCACATTCATCACTTCTCAACTCTCTTTTGAGCTGTTAAAAAGTCTCTTAAGTGAAAGCTATGGCATACTTCAACCATCCTTTATCAGTCTTCTGCTTACCTTTCAAGTTTTTATTAGGTCCTTCCCAAAATGCAGGGTTAGGATGCAGAGAAATTAGCATTCTCTTAGAGTTCAGGACATCCATGCACTATGGATTTAAGACATGGCCTGCTTATTGTTTTCTGTTTTGTTACCTATTTCTTCCCTGAAAAACTGCTATTTTACTTCTCCCATTTTTCTTACATTCTTCACAGTGCTCCCAGAGCTACTTCCCTAATGTAGACACTGTTGCTTTGGGTTTCAAAAGTGAGCTATTAAGTCAGCCTGACAGATTTTGAAACAAAGTCCAAAAATATGCTGTAAACCAGCAGCGCTATCCAAAATCTTTATATTTTAGAAGGGATCTATAAACAGTCAGCGATCGTGTTTTGTCCAACCACAGTTTTCAAGGAAAGGGAAGCAGGCTGAGGAAAATAACGTTAGTGGAACTATCCTTCAGCTACAGGAAGTTAAATGGGCAACAGTAAAGCTTTTTAAAAATCGTTTAGTTTGGCTTTGAGGTATGGAATTAACACATTATAGATTTCAACTCTAGTACAGAAAAATATTTCAGAAATTAAATGAGCAATATGAAATGTGGCCATTTGAGAAAATGTAAGGAACACATTTCGTATTTGGATGTATGAAAAATACTACAGTGTGTACTAAGATCATATCCTGAATTCAAAAGTAACCAAAGGCAAAAATTCCTGCCTCTAGTATTGAGCTCATGTGGCAGGATTCTCTGTGGGTGATGTTTCACACTTAGACAAGTGATGTCTGGAAAACAGATCGCAAAAATCAAAATCTCCCACGGCTATTCAAAACCAGCTGTGGAAAAATCTTTTCATTTAGCACTGTTTTTTAAGGTTTTCTAGTATAAAATACAATGCAAGAGAAAGGACTACCAAAGCAGCAATGAGTTATTTTCCTTAGGGTTAATGGGCAGTACAGATCTCCTGGACAAGCTTCATTTCTTCACAGACTTCATTGGTGTAGATGTATTTTAAAATGTGAGGTTCTGTGTACTGTCGCTCTTTATTGCTGTGATACCACATGCATCTTTGTCATCTAATGACATGACATTCAGTTGCAGGCATAAAAACTGGGTATAGGCACTAAAGCCAGAAATGAAGTGTAAAAACATGGAATATTTTAAATATGAAGCTTATATATAATATATGTGAATACACCAACTTATTGCAGGAAAAAATATACTAACAAATGCAGGGGATGCATTTCAAACAAATGCAAACAAACAGATGTAACAAAATAAGGTGGAAATACTGTAATTAACATACACTGAAATGTAGCATAACTTACAAAAGTGTTGGGAAATGTGTCTAAAAGAGCTGTTGTAGATTTTTTTTCCTGCTTTAATTTAATTTCTTCCTTATGATCAACATAACACTATATAGGTCAGTAGCTGTTAGAAGAGCACACAAACATCCAAGTCTTGCATGCAAATCATCCTTTTGGTTTTCATCAGAATTTTACAACATGATAGCAATACTTGCACTGTGGTAGCATCATGTATAGCACGTAGTGTGCGTACCTCCAAGGCACATTCTGCATGTGAAAACCACCTGGTGGAAATCAGGCCTGAATCCTTCAGGGTGACTGGACGAGGCCAGGCTCTTCTCAGTGTTCTAATAGAAAGTTAGGGAGGTAGGGGCTGTGACAAGGAGCAGGACAAGAAGCAATGGGCTGAAACTTGAGTGTGAGATGTTCCATACTAACATGCAGAACTTCTTTATGGTAAGGATGGTGGAGCACTGGATCAGGTTGCCAGAGAGGTTGTGGAATCTCCTTCTATGGAGATATTCAAGACTCATCTGAATGCCTACCTGCATGACCTGTGGTACTTCATGATCTCTTGAGGTCCCTTCCAATCCCTGTGATTATGTGATTCTGTAACTGCTCCATTCAAATGAACTGTTAAGAGGCTACAAAAATCTGAATCTGTAGAAGTGGGAAACTGACATTTGAATTTGAACAAAAACTGGCAAATCCAAGGGTGATTTAAACTCTGCTTCCTCAGAAAACAGGTTTGGTACTCTCCAAAGTACCAAAGTACAAGAAGTAACCAGGGGTACACTGTGAAACTTCATCTGAGGCAGAATGCTCCTGTGAATGCTGTTCAATGTTTGTTGTAATCACTATTAATGAATTGACATTTTCCCTGACAAAATGGCTTCACCACAGCTTCCCCCTGTTGATTCAGCCGAAGAGCTTAGCAATTACGAAGTGATGGGAAAAAAAGAGAAGTTAAAGTCCAAAAGCGGGAATCCTGCATTTTTCTTCAATTTTCAGGCCAACAATTAAGGCAGCACCCTTTACTCCTCTCAAAACCTTTGCAGCATTATCTCAACCTCTGGATACATGCAGTCCAAACTTGACCATCAAGATACACAAGCATATTCTTATTTTCACAACATTTATTTGAGAGAATGAGAGGGTACATCTTATTGAAAGGCAAAAAAACCTTAATGCTTAGTAATCACCTCAGCTGCTAAGAGATTACTTAGAAATTATTTCCTCGAGGCCAATAGAAAACAAAGAAATGAAAGGACGAGGGGGGCAAAAGGGCAAGTTAGCTTTTTAGCAGTAGCTTGCAATGGCACAAATATGGAATAAGACTGAACACTCAGAGAACTGGTGAACACCTGTTATAGAGTGCATTAGAATACATTATAAGTTCTGTTCCTCACTGCCTCCAGAACTTTGAAAATTCAGAAAAGCAGAGGAGTAAGGGCTAGGTTTGACACAGAATCATTATGACTTTCACCCTTCGTGTTTTCTTCTCCCCTACCATTTGTGCCACACGTAGCCCCTACCTCCCTGACTTTCTGACAAAAAG